TTTCAAAATATTATATATGACAATGTAAATATGGAGATATTAATTAAAAGATAAAAAACTATAAACAATAGAAAATTACAAATACAGACAACGAATACATGCAATTAAAGCATTTTAGAGCAAACTATTAATTCAGAAAACTAAACATATACAATGTGTGACATCCATTTTTACAATAGTCTTTTACAATCTCAAGTCAACGTAAAATAAAATTTATATATTTCACCACACATTTCACATTTTTTTCCCAATAATTTTATCACATATAAGAAATAACTCTAACCACCACTTTTTCAAAATTCAAACTCTTTAAATACATATATTAAAGATAACAAATTTTCTTATGTGAGTTTAAACAAATCCTCTATTTCGTCATCTCCTATTTGACAATAGGAGGAAAACGCTTTTGTATTCACAAATGAATTTGGTAGCCTCAAAATCTACCACATATTCATTCACACATCACTCGTCAATTTGAAAAACAATTGCACCAGTTGTATCATCGTCGCCAACAAAGTTTACACTTTATTTTGGTGGATTCTTTTCCATAAATTTCAATTCCCCCACAAATAGTGATATTGTAAACGAAAGCTAATCGTAATTAGGCTTGTTAAAAACATACCACAATTGGACCATCAATTCCTCCAAGGGGAGTTTCAGGCACTGTGACTATTCCTTAGGTATTCTTTTGTTTTTTGTTCGCCATAATTCTTTATATTGTTGGCTCTATCCTTCCAAATTCAACTTGTTGACCGCGTTGCTCCTCAATTGACCTCGTTGACCATCTAGCTCCGCTAATTGACTTGCAAATTAATCACTAAAAAGAACTAAAAATATATTAGTGGCTCGAGACGCGTCAGACGCTGTCCTGAGGAATTATTTCCGACGTACGGAAATTCCCTCAGGATATAACGAGCCCTTCGGTTTTAAAACCGGTACCAGAACTAACGAGAACAAAATTAATATATGACCCAGTAATGATTTGAACAAAATATAAAATGTATATTTGTGATATATCTTTGTATATAATGTAACTGTAGGAAATCGGCCGAGCCACCAAGCATGCTCGGCTACACCAATGAATAGCTAGCTTGTATGGAATACTAGTGTGCCAATAAGTTTAAAACCACCACCCTCGTGTGAACTGCATATCCATATACGAAGTATATACTAGCTATCCAAGCCAATCATGAAAACCCTCCTTTTTTGCTCTCATCAAAAGATGAATATATATGCATGCATAACTTGGATTCAAATAAGAAATCAATGTAATTTAAGTCACTAAAAAGAGTAACGTATTAGGAGTGAATAGGAATTAATAGAAATTGTAAACAAGTTATATCAATAGTCAATTAATTGACAAAAACGGATGGGAGTTGCAAAAGCTTAATCCTTTGCACGAATGGGAATAGAAATTCAACTTAAAGATAATCTTTATTCATTTGAAATAATTTCAAATTTTCCAACAGTCAAATCGTGACTTTTTTTAAAATGGAGATAGTATTGAATTATATGTAAATCTGTATAGCGTGTAAAAAAGGCTCGTATCAAAGACGGGATCTGCATACGAAGCTAACATATTAGTATTTCCCAAATGTAATAATCCGTCGTGGACATTGCAATTGTTTAACAAATTTCATCTCAATATAGAGGGATGGAGCCGGAAAAACGACTTAGGGAGATCAAAATCTGACTTAATAAAAGATGACAATTCCGGTACCCATTTAAAAAATGGGGTATCGTACCTATCATGCATTTGATTGGTCCAAATCATTATATATTTTTAATTTAGATTTAAATAATTCAACTGTATCATTCTTATTGGTCCATTTGGACAAAGATACGGTACATTTGGGGTACCATAGAATCTACCTTAATAAAATATAAAAAGAAAGGATCAGTTTTAAATAATACTTGAGTTGAATGTTTTGTATATAGCTTAGATAAATGATTCTACTTGATGTATGTGTCATATCCATTTTAAAATTTATGTAAGTAATGAGTGAATTAGACTCTTTCTAAAATTTTGAGAATATAATCTATATAATGAGTGATGTTCTTAGATAGTGCTGATTTTTAGGAGTCATAATTTTTTACTCGTAATGAGTTACGAGAGGCATAATATATCGAATCCATTGTATTTCAGTGCTTTATATTTTTGAACTTACAAGGGGATCGGTTGACCACTCTGACCCCCTTGACTCCACCACCGTCATATGTATAAACTGAAAAATTAAAACAGAAATACATCGAAGTCATAATTGTTTATTTTGCCAATGAAATGAGGAAGACATTCACAATTTGACTTCTTTAAACAAATAAAATATTCCATTGAACCTTGTTTATTTAGCGTTGTTTTCTTTAATATTCTCCACTTTGGTTTTCTTTATCCTATCCATATTCATTAATTTTTATTACACCTTGAGATTAATTCAATTTATAAATTTACTTGTAATTTAAAAAAATTGTCTAACAAAATCAACAACTTATACCACCAACACTCAATAGATAACAATCAACAATTAAGAAATCACGCAATCAACTACGAATGAAATCAATTAATAAACTAATCATACAATCATATCAAAGTAATATCGTGAAATTCTTTTATTAAATTTTGTGAGCATGTTTTCCATCAAGTGAGGCTCATGTGGAAACAATTTAGCTTAAAACTCAATTGGAGAGTCAGTTAAATAAATTATTGAAAAATATTATGCCAAAATATGCATAAAAAGGCCTTTTATCAAAATTTACATTGAATGACTTTTATTACATTGAATTTTAAACTAAAATTTAGTGGGCATAATCTACAATTCATAGAGATATGTTCATAAATTTTTATCAAAATTTCATCCGGAAACATTTCAAAAAGTTCCACTTGAAACATTTATTAGTTTTGGACTGAAAAAGGAGTCTACTCACACCTATTATAAAGAACTGAATATATGCCAATTTTTTTTTTCATTTTTTGGGTCTAGACCCCTGCTCCCTTGTCCCCCTAGGGTCGTCCCCTCATTTGGGGTGCGGGCACCATTGAGATGGGCTTGTGAGAAGCTTGAACATCACCTTGGGTTGTTCCTGTTATGATTTGATAGTAGATGATATTTGGCAAATTTTAAAATTACAAGGGTAATTTTAAAATTGCCCATTGTAAGAATGTTTTTATTTATAGTGAAATTTGTCCCAGATCAGATCAAAATAGATCAGGTCAAATCATACTTCGATAAATATAAAAATACAAAGAAATTAGATATGACCAGACCAAACTAGATCAAACCAGACCAAATCATACCAGATCAGAGCAGACCAGACCCGCAAATCACAGTCCAGGTAAAAACGTCTTAAACCGTCAGCAAATCGGGATGCTCACTTGTTAGCTAGAGTAGTTGTTTCTAAGTCAGGATGGAGTTAGTAAATCCCCCAAATTTCATTGTAAATCAACTAGCTAATGATGTTATTGATTATTGGTTAATAAAAGATACTTTTCTTTTCACAAAATCTAAGATATATGGTAAAAAAAACACGTTTAGAATAAGTTTTATTTTAAAATACATTCTAAAATACAGATTCTAATTTCAAAAATACATTCTAAATTTGGAATATAGTGTAATTGGACTTTTTACCTCAAATGAAATTTAATAAAGAAACCAGGACCGTGAACCAGCCCGATCACCGGGTCGGGTAGACGTAGACCTGTCCATGCCTCCACAGTTTAAGATTCAACCGTAATCGAAACCAGATGAACCACCGGTTTTGGAATCGAAATCGAAATCGCCTATTACCTCCGGTTTGGAATAGGAGGTTCCCTAGTCCGGTTCAGAACCAGTTTTTAATTAAAAAATTAATTACTCAACTTGATTAATAATAACAATATTAAAGGATAATATTAATAGTACTCCGTAGTAGTTATAGTTGTTCTGCGAACAATAAAAACAACAAAGGACTACTTCATATTAATTAGTACGGAGTACTTTGTAATTTTTAGCCATTACTAATTCTAATAATCTAATATTAAGAATTATAATTATAAGAATGCATAATTTATAAATTACTAAAGTACTTTAAAATTACTAACTCCTTAATTTATACTAGCTGATCATTTCTAACTACTTAGTGATTTACTAAAAAAAACTATTTTGTAGTTAAGTGCTCGTTTGGTAATAGCTAAATCGGCTGTATTGACTGATTCTGCTGAAATTTATGAGGTATTGGATGATGTGACTCTATTGGCTGCTTCTGCTGATTTTTGAAAATAATATTTTAAAATACATTTTATTAATAAAATAAAGAAAAATTATGTGAAAAATAGCTAAAATGAACTCCTACTGTAACTTCAACCCATACAACCAGAAAAGTAGCTTCAAACTTACTTTAAATTATTATTAACAATTCAGCCCGTAAAATCAAAAGTAACATGTTTAGTAAAAAAGTTGACTTATAAGCCTAAAAAGCAAAAAATCATGGCTACCAAACAGGCACTAAATATCATTAACTATACTAATGATTTGTGGGAACTCTTTCATCCAAATAATCTCATAACTTATTATCTACTCCTAAATATTACGTATAAAAAAATAAAAAAAAAATGGATTGGAACCGAACTGAGATGAAACCAGAATCGCCGGTTTTGGATCAGGTATCGTACGGTTCCGGTTTCGGTTCTCCAAAAGTTGGAACTGTGAACCGGCAATTCGTTTTCGGTTCCGGTTCAAATCGCGGACACGTCTAGGTACACTAGTCCAAACCAAGACCCTTTACAACCAGACTAGTCGCGGTTCAAGATATTTGGCCTCCGGACCGACCAATCTGGATCTGGAACCAGACCAGATCGGCCCGGAGTCCATCCCTCGTTGAACAATAGGCATAGAAGAACATGTACTAGATATTTTAATATTTAAAAATATTTAAGGGGTGGGAAAACATTTTAGAAATATTAAAAAATATTCCTAATATATACTCGGTATTTGCTTGTACGATTATAGGATAGTATATTAGTAAGAAAAACTTCTTCGTCTGTTACCATCCCCAAACTTCCAACTTCGCCCATATTCTCTCGTAAGAATGACTTCGTCGCGTCGGTCAAAGCTATCTTGGAAAACTTCCGGCAAGCGTACTCCGCGAGTGCCCATTTCTGCACCCCTTGATGGGGATGACAATTCTAGCTCAAGATCGAAGAGTTTCAATTCACTTCTTCGTGTGGGACTCAAGAGCACTCGCACCGGCAAGCCTCGTACCGCCAGAATGTCAATTGCAGTGCATGGGAGTGAAATTTCTGCAAGTCGATCAAGAAGAGCACTTCCACGTCTTCACAGCTGGGGATTGAAGGGCTTTAGAACGGGAAAGGGTACCCCAAAGATCCAAATTGCAGGCCACGTTAGGGGTCAAACTTCTGCAAGTCGATCAAGAAGAGCACTTCCACGCCTTCACTGGGGATTGAAGGGCTTTAGAACTGGAAAGAGCACCCCAAAGATCCAAATTGCAGGCCACGTTGGGGGTCAATGTTCTGCAACTCGTTCAAGAAGAGCACCTCCTCGCCTTCGCTGGGGATTCAGGTGGTTTAGAACTGGACAGGGTACCCCAAAGATCCAAATTGCAGGCCACGTTGGGGGTCAGTGTTCTGCAGCTCGTTCAAGAAGAGCACCTCCTCGCCTTCGCTGGGGATTCAGGCGGTTTAGAACTGGACAGGGTGCCCCAAGAATCCAAATTGCAGGCCACGTTGGGGGTCAGTGTTCTGCAGCTCGTTCAAGAAGAGCACCCCCACGCCTTCTCTGGGGATTCAGGCGCTTTAGAACTGGACAGGGTGCCCCAAGAATCCAAATTGCAGGGCTTGGGGGTCAAAGTTCTGCAGCTCGCTTTAGAACTGGAAAGGGTGCTCCAAGAATCCATGTTGCAGGACAGGATGAGGCTCAAAGTTCTACAGCTCGTTCAAGAAGAGCAACATCGCTTCTTCGCTGGGGGCTCAGGCGCTCTAGAACTGGAAAGGGTGCCCCAAGAATCCAAGTTGCAGGGCAGGATGAGGTCAAAGTTCAGCAGCTCGATCGATCAAGAGCACCTCCACTTGGGGAATTCAAGCGCTCTAGAACCGGAAAGGGGGCTCCAAGAATCCAAATTGCAGGGCAGGGTCAATGTTCTGCAGCTGCGTTGACTTCAAATCCCACAGTATCGACCGAAATGTGCGCTGAGGCCCTCTTGGACCTAGCCGCAGGTGAGCCGCCGCTTCATGATGAACCTACCTTCATGGAGAGGATCCAAGCACAGGGCAGCACTAAAAAGTAAGCTTTGTTCTTCAATCAATCATCAGTACATTTAGATGGTCTTCATGATGAACCTTGTCTTCAAACAATCACAGTTCTATGTCTTGTACATTTACACTTTAACGAGTACATTCTGTAAATAGTATCTACCCTATAAAATCACACATCACACAATAAGCATTAAGTAAAATACAGTATTTAGGTACAATTAAACGTCAATTGCTGGATGAACAAACTAGCACTTGCCCATGGAAGCCTACAATTTATTTACTAATGAAACATGTATCACTTTGTTTCAATCATATCCAATAGTAATGCCAAATAAATGGGGCAAATAAAACTCGATGATCATGAAATCGACTCTGTAGTTATCGATCCTCAGCTTTTTTACGCCAACTTTCCTCGTGAGATCTACCACAAGCTTTTGTTCGACCAGTAGAATCTCATAGATTTCAATGAAGTACGAAGTATGTAGATATTAAAATGAAAGGGAAACTTCTAGATAACAGTCCGTAAAAACTATGGGTGAAAACTGAAAAGTATAACCAAAGATCGGAACTTTGTAAATGAAAACGACAAAAGTGCTTCTCGTCGGTCTAATCAGCTTCAACTGATCGAGATATATGGCCATTAGCGGGGAGGAATGGGTTTCCGATCAGAGATAATTTCAGCAACGAAAAGGGTTCCGGCCAGAGACTGTAAAAGGAAGGATGGTTAGAACAGAGATCTGAAATATTGCAAACGAAGAAAAACGAAGTTAGAAAGGCTGGGGGTAAAGGATTAAAAGCTCAGCGTTGGGAGAGTTTGGGCGGGGTTGCACTGTTGCAGCCGCGATTGGAGTTTTTCAAAAATAAAAAATGAGGGGGAAATAATTTCACATTGGCCCTCTGCATTCGGTCCAAATTTCTGGTTTTTAAATGTAAATAAAAATGTTCCACCTTCCAAGTGCCGCGACATTAGGAAATAGGATGACCACGTAAACATATCATCATCCCCAATTTATCATCATACTAGTTTTTTGTTTGAACAAAATGCCCAAGCATATTGTTTGATCACCACTTATCTGTCAATCATATACATGCATGTAAAGTACTTCGAGACAACAATATTTCATGGAATACAATATTATTCTTAGTAATAGTAGATGGATTTGTGAAAAATAACCATTCAGTTCTTTTTTCAAGTGGTGAGTTGTTTTTTTCCTGAATATGGCATCCTCATCTATTCATTATTTTTTTTATTAAAGACAAGACCTCTTTAATGATCGTGTGTTTGATGGAAGAATGTTGATGCATGTGACAGTATTTGCAATATATATTATACTCTCCTTTTTTTTTGAAAGGATATATTATACTCTCCTTTGTCCAACCATTATTGGCATTTTGAAAGAGTGCTTTTTTGTTCAAATTATGAGAGTTTAGTTAAGAAATAATTACATAAATATGACCAAAATAAAGATGGTTTACAAAAATATGATTCATTACTAGAGTAGTAATGAAATCATAGTAATTCATGTTCAACTTTTGAACTTTAGTTACCACAGCACTACGTTGTAGTAATGAATAGTCACATTTATGTAAATAAGTTTTATTTTAGTAATATTCTCGTAAAAAACCCTTTAGTTAATGGCGCATATTTGTTTGCATATTTGGACTAAAACATTGGAAGGTCGTCGTTACCCTGAATGTGTGTGCGGGTTATTTTAGAATTACAATGGAAAGAAATAGGAAAAGAAAAAAATAGTCTTGAAGGAGATCATAGTGTTGGAAACAAATGAATTTAAATTAATTTTGTGCCTATAAAATTGCTATCAGTCGCTCATGTTCATGAAATTGAAAACACAGTGGTATAGGTCAAGAAGTTAATATGGGACTCCATATCCTAATACAAAGTACCGCAATAAATCTTGAAGCAATTAAAGAAACAAGTTAAAGTACTTAAAATAAAAAGTTAAAAGAAACATAAAAACAATGTGATGTGCCACAACTATGTATTTGAAGTTTAAAGTTGCCCTAAAAAAGCTTCTAGTGAAAATCTATTCAAGTGGGAACACTTGTATTGACTAATTTTAATTAAAATACATGTTTCAAAAAGTTATTAGTTTACCTTATAAGCATATAGGACCGTATAACAGATCTAAAATAATACACACAAGTAAAAGTAGATACCTTAGTTTGACCATTAATATATCATTCTTTATTAGTAAAACATAAAAATTGAGATTTTAAAAATTTAAAAAGAGAAGTGTTTAACAATAGTTTGCAAAATTTTTATTTATAATACATTAATAAATAAAATGCAGTCAAAATATAATATGTGAATAGTTCATAATCAATAAAGTTGCAACTATAAGAGAACAGAGGTAGTATATACTACTCATATACTTATAGGCGAAAAGCAACTTTGACTCCTAGGTGAGACAAATGGACCTTGAAAGTTGAAACTACCACCAATTTCTCCGGCCTTAAAAGGACATTAAAAATTTGAATTTGGATCATCTCCAGTAACCGGTGAGTTCCATTAGGAGAGATATAGAGAGGATAAAATTAAGGGTGGGGTAGGTTGGGAGAATGTTAGAGAAAAGGGTAGAGATGAATAAGAAGTAAAAAAGAAATGGAGGGGAAATTGAGAGAAAGAAATGGAGATGAGTGGAACCCTTAAAAATTTGTACAACATCTTAGAAATCTTGAAGTAGTCTGCAACAAAGGTGAATACAGATAAACTAAAATTATCAATATGTTCAATAAAAGTACATGACTCAAGTATACTGTATCATTCATGGGCGTCAATTAGTAATGAAGATTTATTTTAAGCGGTAAACTAACGAAAGAGAAGAACTTTTGATAATTTTTAGTGCAGCTACTAATTAAAAAAAACGTTTACAAGGGTAAACTAAAGAGCACATGATTCAATTAAAAAATCATTGAATTCGATCAGTGCAGCTGCTAATTCAAAGAAAAAGAAACAAAAACCTAGTGGATGAAGATGCTAGAGGAGTCAATAAACGGAAGCATTAACGGCGGTACATTAACGAAGGGGAAGAAAATTAGAAAAGTGCAACAAAAGAAACACTACATACAATAAGTTTATGCGATAAGAGACACCAACATTTTTCATATGACAATTATGCCCTTAACAATATTCCCTCTTATAATATTGTAGAGATATTCATATATATTCCGTAATATAATTACTTAAAATACATCTCTTCTCTTCTTATATAAAAGCAAAAGAACTTACACGCACAGTACTCCCGCCCATAAATGTCAACTTCACTTCTTCAATATTATATTGCTTCGAAAATAATGTGCTTTTGAGTTATAGGTTCGTCCGGCAGAAGAATTTTTGTGGAAAAGGTATTCCTATTGGCCGAGGGTGGCGGTGTGCAAAGTAAAGCCTCAATTTTGATTGGTCCACCGTGCGGTGGCTACTGTAGACTAAATGTGTGATTGGATGTTATCCTTGCTTGCATTCCAATGGTATGGATTACTACGTCAATGCTCAGCTATAAAAGACCACCTTCAGCACCATCTTTTTCCCAACCATCCTCACTTTAGTTAGTTGTAATAGCTAGCAAACACCGAATTACACTTTGATAGGTAATTCGGTCTTGATTATTTATTCCCAATTTGATCGGAGAGAAAGGGAGTAGTAAAGCAAAAGAATTACACGGGCAGGTTATTGTTTGTGTACATATCTTAGCCGCTTGCCTAAATCTGAGATGTAATCGGAACGAACAGAGGTCGTTGTTGCTTGGCTTGTGTGCAGGTCGGCTGTTTGCATGTTGTCGGTGTAAGGAGAGCGACTTCGAGGACGGAGAAACACCGAAGCGGCGGGATAGGTTTGAGAGGTTACCAGAACATGCAATAAGAAATTAGGGAGATAAATTACTTTTTTTCTTTTGTAAATTTAGGGTGTGTGACACGTGTTATAACAAATCATACAAAGTATATACGAAGTATGAAGTAGTTTGTTTAATGGGTAGATTATATGGTATAAGGTGTCATACCTTTGTCCACATAGACCAATGAAAATGTAGCAGTTGAATTATTTAAATCTAAATTCAAAATAATAAAGTGATGTGGTCCAATCAAATGAATGGTAGGTATGGTACCCCATTTTTTAGAAGGATACCGGAGTTGTCAACTTATTTAATTTGATAGCCAAATCTCTAAAAAACATTTTTCTTACAAAACAAATCAGCGTCATATTTTTTGGGTACAAAAATTGTTTCACTCCGTTCAAAAAAAATTTGTCACTAAAAAATAATACTCCCTTTGTCCTTAAATTTACTTCCATTTCGCTTTTCGAGAGTCAACTTAAATCACTCTTAAACTCTTACTTTTTGTATCAAAACTTTATGAAAATTGATTTTTTTTTGCAGGCTTTGTAGCGGGTTTAATGTAGTTTCTGAATATGTAAATTTTATTTACTAAAAATAATCCGAGTTTTCACAGGGATCATTTAACTTTATCATCGGTCAACCTTCGTAATCCGCAATTGGAACAACATTCAGGAACGGAGGGAGTACGAAGTACATAGTAATGCCTTCTTTTTTTTGAAAGGAACTGCCTCTCTATGGGAGAAGGCAGTAATATGGCGTTTTCAAATATAATATTTTAAACTTTTTCATTATTTACGACAGCATAGTTTTATGAATTAGTCGTTTTAAAGGGATTTTCTTTTGGGAAATTTCCTAGGATAAGACTAAAACTCATTGAGTTTCTCTAAATATGTCTTACCTAGTTTTTTGAGATTTGTATGACCAAAAATCGAAAAATAAAAGGAAATCACGTTTATATTTCAATACTCAATGACAAAAGTACCCTTAGTTAAAATATGTGCATTTTGCACTAATTACATCCAATTAAAGTTACTGCATTTACTGCACGACATTAATGCACAAAATTACTGCACGACATTACTGCACATCCTGTAATATTTATTGCACTTCCGCCAAAATTAATTCTTTTCTCATTCACTTTATAAATTTATTTATAATTTTTATTTTTTATGTTTTTAGATCTAACTTTTTATTATTTTATGTCTAATTATATTAAGTACGAAGTATATTTCATATCATGGCGGCATTACTGCAATGTATTACTGCGTCCATAATCACTGCATTCAATTCACTATCGTGAATAATATTATTTATCGTCATATTCACCG